ACTGAGGGCAGAGGAAGGGGGGGGGAATAATACTGAGGGCAGAGGAGCCATAGGCTCCTTCTACTGTCAATCAACCTGTTGGAAGGAGAGGAGGAGCGTGGCCTGCCACAGGGCTGTGTGTGTGTCTATGGACGCACATAGCTACTTGTGGGGATGGCTGGGAACCTGCACACACGGGTGTCTCCACAGCAGCCGCTTAGCTGATGAAGACACCCTTGCAGGTAGGGGGCGGGAGAGCGATGTGGGAACCCACTAGAGAAATTGAAACATTTTTTTAAAAAGAACAATGACTCCGCCATGTGTGCCTCCTTTGCATACAAATAAAAAATAAAATAAGCAAAGGTTTAATGTCACTTTAACTGGTGTGTTCACAATATGGCTTTGGAGATCATGCCATGTGACAGGGTTGAGAAAATAAACATACCAAATACCTTGTACTTTCATATCCTCCGAAGCTGTGGCATCATAATATCTTTAGACTCCCAGGATTGTAACATAACATATCTTTAAATATGGAGGGAAGAAATGTATCAGTTGTACTTGTTGTGTCATGTATATGACAGTGATAGATTGCTAGATAAACACAACGAGTGCCAGGAGTGTGCAGTATTCACTTATACATAGTATTCAAGCTTCCTTTGAGAGTCATGTTCACTGCAGGTCTGTTTGGGCCAATATCCAGGAATAGCAGGAATGCAAGAGTATTAAATATCAGAATTTAAAATACTTTTGAATAAATTTGTCTTGCACCTTACAAGGGGATAAAAATGCCTTCTAATTACAGGCTAGAACAAGAGATTGAAGATTTAGAGAAGCAAGAAACACAGCTGTCGGCTAAAGAAGTGCGTGTCCTACAGCGACTGAAGTCTGTAGAAAGAACTACAGCGGATATCATAAGGGTATGTAAAGGCTTATCTGTAATGTTGTATGGCCAACCTAGACTATAGGCCCAGGGTCACAATTCCAAAGGTTAGTACAAAGCTAGAAAAATGCAGGACATATTTCAAACATAAACATCCACAGGCGGAGAGGGCGGAGAGGGTGGTGAGGGCAAAGGGGCTCTAGGCTCATGAAAGGGGCCATCAAGTGAAAGGATTTCAGGTACTCCCTCTTCCCTTGACTCTTCACCTTTTTGGACAGCTCATATAACCGCTCTAGTAGGGAGAGAGCTCAGCAGTGGTTGTACTACTTGAGGAAACTCAAGAAGGCCAATCTATAACAGTGGGCATTTTATTAAGGAGCAATAGAAAGTATTGTGACATACCATGTCGGAGTGTGGTATGTGCACAGCTGATGCCCAAAAAGTGTTAAAGCAGGTAGTGAAAAACTGCTCAGCATATAACTGGCACTAACCTACCTAGTGTTAAAAAACTGCTCTTCAGACTTTAAAGGAGCATTCATAGTGGCAAGGTACCCACCAGTACCTGTAAACCTATTTAAAATGTCAGGGTAGAGAGTATTCCATAGCGACCAATCAAAATGTTATCTCCTGAAGTCATGTGACTGAAGAATTCTAATTGCTTGCTATAGTTGACAGTGCATTGTTTTGTGTCCTATTGGATTTCATTCTTAATTTTTATATAGCTATTGGTAATGCTCCTGGTGATTGGCTCCCAGTGCAGGTGCTCCCATGCTCTGATTTCTGGTGTGCTGGAGATTATAGGAATATAATATTAGGATAGAGTTTAATCTGTTCATAAAACATTGTGAACTGCATTGTGTTGCTGATATAGAGTTTTATAACTCATACAAAGCTTAATGAATTAAAAAGTTTAAAAAAAGGACACAAAAAAGGCAATTATGGGATTTTTAAAAAAAAAGGTTGCATTCTATAGAATTGTATATCAGGTTTGTTTTAAAATACATGTTTGCTTATAAGAATAAACAGTTTGTGAACAGTGATTAGATATACATTATAATCTCACTGTCTTAATCATTGCAGGCTGTGAAAACAGAAGTTCGACTAGGTAAGTACACTGGATGGTATTCAGTAAAGAATATAATCTGTAATGCATTAAAGACATTGGATCACTAGTTTTTGGCTCTGATAGTTCCAACCCTCAGGAAGGTACCTGCAGCCATATAGGGGTTAATGAGATCTTTTCTTATCACTTAAAGCTGGGTATACACTGTTGTATTTTTTTTTTCGTTCAGCCCACGGGTTGATTAAAAAAAAATAGAAGCGTGTATACCCAGCTTTAGGTATACCCCGTTTCCATTGTATTCTGGCAATGGTCGCTGGCCGCTGTCAGAATACCTGAACAGAGGTCTGTTTGGCCGAGAATTTTCCAACTAGCTTCTTCAATCAGCTGATCTAGGAATGCCGGGCAGAAGGGTGCGGACAGTGACAGCCACATGGCGAATTTCGGCCAGTTCATCAAGAAGTGGATGAAATTCAAAGCATGTATACCCAGCTTAACTCCTTTCCCCCTCTGCATTATATACTAACTTTCCTTTAATGCCCCACTGCTCCCTTTCTTAAATATGCTTATTGATACAGAGATTAATGAGGGCTTGTTTTAAAGTGCTTTGACTGATTGTTCAGAATATGTAATGCATGACATGAGAACGGGTTCACTTTAAGGGTTTTGAGAAGGAGGAAAGTCAAAGTTGGGGTCAGAGAATTAAGAATATGCTAGATGTCATGGACTTTTTGAGACGCTGTTAATCATGTTTTTGTCTGTAAAGACTAACCGTAACTGGTTACGTTCTATATAAGGAAGTCTTAGGCTCCATTCACATATAGCGTTTGCGTGTCCCGTGCAGAAGACCGCATGACACGAAAACACTCAAATCTTTACTTCTGCCCGGAATGCGCCCCTGAAATCGTGCTCTCACTACTTTGCGGGACGTGTGGTCCCCACAATAGTCTGAACAATGCACATTATCGTGCATTGCTTTTTATGTTTAGAGCGGTTCCGTGCGTGTTTGCAGGGCGGCCGAATACGTGTGGAAAACCGCTCATGTGTGAATGGAACCTTATGGGTAACTAGGAAAGATCAAATGTGAAATAAAGACCTATATAATATTTATACAAGGCATCCTTGTACCATCTTACTAGTATACTAATACTGTACTATTAAATCGTATGCTTTTATTTTTTAACAAGAGCAAGAAACATTATCAGGGTATAAACTGCACACCTGGATTTTAACAGCCATCATGCCTGAATTTCTATCAGTACATGTTTTCTCATTAATAATTTATTTCACAGAACCGGTAAAGGATATATACGCCGGTATACCTGACCTACCACCTTCTTATAAACCAACATTTGTTAGAAAAATGGAAAGTGCCCAGCTTGAGAATGGGGATGAGCCAAGAAAAGGTATCAATGTTTTATATATGACTGACCTGTAACAATTCAAGTATAATATGAATAAAGTAGGGTAGTGAAACATTGTATGGCCAAAGGTTTGTGGTCACCTAGCCATCACACCAATACTATAATAGACAAAGTACATCCCTCCAAGTAACTGAGACCAAGTGTTTCCAGTGTAGAATACGGTTAATGCTACAGCATACCAAAACAACCATGTGAGACTACCGTGCAATTCCAACCTTAAGGCAACAGTTTTGGGAAAGTCCTTTTCTGCTCAGTATGACAGTACCCCTGTGCACAAATCTAGGTCCATAGGACATGAGTAGACAAACTTGTGGAGGAACTCCAGTGGCCTGCACAGAGCCCTGACCTCAACCCTATGGAAACCTTTTGGGATTAACTGAACCACTGATTGTATGTTATACTTATTCAACATCACAAATGCTCTTTTAGCTAATTGGGGAGAGATTACCACAGACAAGTCTAAAATCTTGCAACTCTTCCCAGAAGAATTGAAGCAGAGGGGGTAACTCCATATTAATGCCCATCATTTTGGAATGGGGTCTCTAACAAAGTCTTATAGATGTCCAAAAACCTTTGGCCATATAGTGTACTTCCATCTGCATTATAAGTGCAAGTTTCATATAATATTTAGTAGTGATAATTTTGTCTTCTTACCATGATGTGATCCTAAATCTAAAGCAATGGATCTCAACCACTGGGCTGCATAGCCTCCTTCCTGCTGGACTGCAGCCTGCAGTTTGTATTGACAGCTATTGCTCTGACACTGCAATTTTCCATTATAGGCCTCTGCTCACCAGTAGTACTCACAGAAACGGGAGTCTACATTGCTACTGTGTATTCCTTTCCACCAGCTATGCATGGGCTTTGAATTAAGAAGGAAGCTACAGGGCCACGGCTTGCTGTCTGTTTCCACAGCTACTGGTGTCATACTGCTCTGTTTCCGTTACAAGGCTACGCCCCTCTACATTGCTACTGTATATTCCCTTCCACAAGCTTAGCACAGGGGTTGAAGTAAAAGTGAAGCTAACCAGTGTTTAAATGTTACTTAGTACACAGCATCTTGGGCAGCCTAACAGTTCCTACCTGCTCCCATGGATTCCAAGATGAAGTAAATCTTGCCTTGACATTGATGAGTTTGCTTTGAAATTATTCAAATCAGAGTTGACTAAACCATATTATGCTGTGTAACCCACACTGGTTTTGTCTAGCAACTACTTTCACCATTCAAGATGGGAACAAGATGCCATTGGTCAGGTTTACCAGCCTTAAATGGGCATTGTTTGTTAGGTGTTTTGCACAGAAAAGTTAAATTCTAGGTAGTTGAGGACAATGTGAGTCATACCTCCCTGTAGGTGGCCAGAAAAATATACATAATACAATAAACTGCACACTACATCCAGTTTTGTATTTCCATATAGTTATTTTATTTATATCTGTTTTAGTATTATTTAATCTGGCTTTGTTAAGCTTGATCATGAAAAAATACATTCATGTGAGTTTATAAAACCTGAGGAAACAGCTTACTGGGAAAAAATGAAACCAATAGTTACAGTCTTCGGTATCATCAATGTGCCATATACCATTGTGTTTTCTTATCTGAAGTAGGTGCTTTTTATCCCTGTGTATGTGTAGGCTGAGATGATCCTCTTTTATCTCAGGGATATTGAAAGGCTACCTTAGAGAACATACCAAGGTTATGAAGCTAGCTATTTGAAAACAGGCTAGATGTGGGGTGTGGTGCTCTGGTGTCGGCTCACATATTCCACTAACCCATTCTGCTCTTCTGTTAAGAAATGGTTGCAACTTACACACACCAGAGTACACAGCATTGTAATTTTTTACTGTTGGGTCATGGAAGGTTTCAGAAAAATGTATTGGGCCCTGGTGTCACTAAGGTTGAAAGCCACTGACCTAGAGAATATAAACCTGCTATACACATAGAATATCTTTATGGCATGCTTGTATACATTTGTAGCTGTATTGCAGTCCAGTAAGTTGGTTCTTCCTTTATAAAAATTGTGATAACACAAAAAAATCTAAAATATTTACCAAAATAATGTACTGTGGACATTTATTTTACTCCAGCATTATTCGCCATGGAAATCAAAGTTGAAAAAGATATGAAGACTGGAAAGAACATAGTGTTATCCTCAATCCCGCTTCCCTCTAGTCAGTTTAAAGATGCAGGAGTTAAAGTTTATGATGACGGCAGGAAGTCTGTGTTTGAGGTAAGCAGTGAAGGCAAGCCAGTTAAAAGTGAAGTAGAGAGTCTTGCGCCAATTGAAGTCGAGGATCTCTTGAAAAAAGCTACAGAGAAGAGCACTCTGTCTCCCACGGAATACCACGAACCTGTGTTTTCCAACCCGTACAACAGTTCTAGTATCCATAAAGGGCAAGTTCAACAAAATGTAAATGGCCACAGCTCACCTGTCATTGTGAACCAGCAAAATGGTCACAGTCCAACATTAGTGGGAGATATAGTCCCCAAAAAGCAACCTGTGCCAGAAGTTCCAGTTTATTCACAGCCAAAAGTTGTCATGCTAAATGGACAATCAACCCATGTGGAACCACAACTGACAGAAGATCACAATCAGGCAGTGTTTGTTAACACAAGAAGATACAACACCAACCACTCTACTGCTGCTAATATGGAAGATGACATACAACACAGTGTTGTCCATGCCACACCATGTTACATAGATGACTCTGAGCCAGTTACCATGATTTTCATGGGCTACCAGCATGCTGATGAAAATGAAAGCAGACCGCTTACAGATTACGAGGGAGTCATTCGAGCTGAACTGGTCATCATTGATGATGACAATGACAAAGAAGAAGAAGCAGCTGTGGAAGGACTCATTAGGCAACCGGAAACAAAACCAGAACCTATTTCTACCCCTCCTTTGCCAAATAGTGTTGCACATAAACTACCAAAACACAATATCTCTCTGCATGGCCCTCAGCCCTACAAGAACTCAATATCCTTAGAAGAACAAGAAACTAGCCTGGATCCTCAAAACTATATTCCTGTAACCAAACAGATAGCAGATGATGATGGCACTGAGGATCCATCATTAACAGGTGAGAAACATGTGAAGAAATGCAACTGCTGTTCTCTAATGTAATATTCCTGCTTGTGTCTTACTAATTGCATTAGAAGAAGCTACTAATATTTCAGTTTAATGTGGCTCCATTTTGAAGCACCACCTTTTGAGTCTAATGCTTTAGTGGCTCAGGTGTTGCACAATTTAGTAATTCATTTTAAATATAGCAGAAAGAGGAGTTTTATCAGATGTCATGGTCAGCAATCAGATTCAAATCAATGGGAAATGACAGGTGGAAAATGAAAATTGTAATCTGACTGGATGGTGTTGGGGAAAACAGCTCTTATGCGAGATACAATGATACATGAGACCAAACCTGCAGTATACACTTTCATTGCACGGGTATGATTTGTTGATTTTACCCATTTACAAAACAGTTCATACTTTAAATCACTGCAGCAACTTGGGAATTAGGGACGAGGCTTTGCAGCACAGTGAAGGCAACCGTCATATTCTTTTCATGACTGCGTCTGAGTTACTTTTATTCACCATACAAGTCAATATGAATGCAAAAGCAACATAAAACAGTTAAAGGCGACTCGGGAACAGGCCCATGCAGTTTAGGAGCAATTCAGGAATAATTGACAGGCAAATTAAAACAACTCAAACATGAGCCCAAACATCTCAAAAGTCTGAAGCTTGTGTATACATGCCCTGGCTCACAATAACTCCTTCCCCACCAAGGCTATTTCTGTGTCTCTATGACCAGAGCATTCTGAACAGATATGGATGTATGCTTTGTTTACATTTGTGCACACACCTTTTACATCAATGGTAAAGGGCAATTCCAATTTCCCAGGTACATTTGGGAAATGGTATTACCTCCTCTCCCACCCTGCTATACTTACCTTTTGGCAAATGCTCCTTCCCCGCTACCGGAATGGGTGTACTAACTGTACCCTGTACTGCCGTGTAGCGCACTGCCCATGTATTTTGAGTTTTGCTCGCAAAGGGGCGAGCACACATTGGTCGGCGCAGTCACCAGACCAATTACAAGCGCTTCTGACCACACTGACCAATGAGTGCTCGCCATTTGCGACGGAAATTCAAAATCCATACACACTACATGGCAGTATGGGGTACAAATAGTACACCCGCATCGGCAGAGGGGAAGGAGCGTTCGCTGAAAATATAAGTATAAAGGGGGGGGGGGGGGGGGGGGGGGGGGAGGAGAGGAGGGGCCAGATTGGATGGGGTAATGCCATTTTCCTAAATTTTCCTAGGAAAGTAAAATTAGCCTTTAACATGATAAACCCCTCAGGAAACGGTTATATTTTATTAAACATAATATTCTGACTGCAAGCAACACAAAAACGTTTGTAGACTAGAAATACTGTGGTCATCTTTACTGTGATAATCACTGTGCCATGGAAATGTATGACATCTGCAAGTGATGGTTAATAATTGCTTATATACACATTTCCATTGGCAGGTGTATATTTTTTATAATATTTATACATTCAACACATTTTCCGATTTCCTATATAGGATTATTTACTCATGACATCTGCATGAACATTTGATCATCCTTATGCATAAATCTTGACAATCATATTTTAATAATCATAACAAGGATTCTATTGAAATCACTGTGAAACAGCCTTCTTTCATGACGATGTTAGAATTTTGTGTAATTTATACATTTATTCTTATGTATCTTCCATTTAGGAAACCAACATTAACTATTACAATAGAATTAATTAGGTTTACCCAAATATGATATTTCTCTTCCCTGATATAGATTAATAGCCCTTCTTTAAAAGAAACCAGTCGACACAAGACCTGTGCAAATCAGTGTTTTTTTTTAAATATATGATCACCGTATCAGCTATGACATCACATGCATGCTGGGCTAGATTTCCACATTGCTGAAACCTAGATTAGCAGGGATCAAACAATGCTGGAGTTTGATTTAAAAAGGATTCTGATACTTGTGTTGGTCGAGGCTCCTATCCAGGGATAGTTTCAGGTCTATATAGTCCTACATAATGTCATGCACAGCCAGGTCATTACTGTGCACTTAAGCCAGCTTTGGGGATTCAGCCAATGGCACCCTCCTACTATGGATAGGAATCTCCTCTATGCTTCATAACAGCTTCCCTAACCTATTACATTTCAAGAAAAAAAAACCCAAAAAAGTTTAGAAAAAAAACCTCTCATTGGTTGTCATGCCTGCTTTTTAAATCCTTCTATAAAATTACATTAAGAAAATATGGTTCTCATTCTTTTCTTTTTGTCTACAGCCTTGAGGATTAGAATGGCCAAGCTGGGGAAAAAAGTGATATAAGACTCAAAACTACATAAGGAGATTCTTAGCATATGGATAAAGAAGATCTTCAGAAGTTTTGTGTTTACTAGTGTAACATGGACTTCTTTTCGTTTCTGCCGCAGACAACCCATCCATGGCGCTCCAGTGGGGAGAGTCACTGGTGTTCATCTGCTACACTTCAGCTTTCTGTCTAATGCTACTATACAAGTTCATGTGTTTTTATATAGGAATATATTATTTTTTGGAACATGGAAGGTGATTCCTCATGTAACTAGGAAGATACATGCCATCGGTGTCATTGCTTATTGTATTTACTTTGTAGTCATGTAAACAGAAGCAGATCCAGGCAAGATCTGTCTTGACTTTCCACATATTCACAAGCTTGATCTTACATCATGAAAGAATGCTGGCAAATTAAATCTCAAACTTGCATCATAATTACACTAATTGAGAGTTACATAATTGCTAGTAATTTTTTCTTTTTAGTGTCGGGGAAGCAGTTGAACCCACCACCACTGGCAGTGCAGTGCTCATCTCTTATGAAAAATGCTGCCTCTTGATTGCTGTTTGTTGTATTGCATCAGATTATATATTCAGAGATCAAAAGGTGCTCAGGTCACTCAGCCCGTTTAAAGGTTGGAAGGGCTCGGGCTCTTAAATGATTTGGCCATACATGTTTATTCACCTGTTCAAAATTTGAGTGGAACGTTTAAATTGCACAGGACACAATGTAAGCAGCTAGATAACTGCATAGATACTTGAAAGATGGCATTGCAGAACAAGATATTTTATGCCATCTATTATATGTCTGAATGGATTTTGACAGGTCATTGGAATTGTTTTCAGCCTATATATAGCATGGTTATTGACATTAAAACAACTATGAGCTACCATGATGGTTTAGTAATATATCATAGCTCTCAGCAATACTTTACAAGTGTCAATAAAGTCTGTTTTTGACCAATTTTTCAAAATACCCAACAAGTGAAAGGGAAGCTACTACCTAGAAGGGCTGAAAGCAGTAGGAAATGGATTACTCCATTACCACCATGAGCATCATCTGTTAAAGCAAAACGGGCACGTTGGTTGCTGTGCATCAATATAGGTAATATTCAGATTATCTGTGCCGAAGATATTGCTTTTAATGGCTTTCCATACAACATGATGTCACTGGAAAGACTGGCACCAAGCTGAAGACACATAAGCACATTCTATTTTAATGTTACGTTAGACCTCTGTTGATAACTGGGCCTTTTATGTGCTGCCCTTCATTATTAGATGAGCTGTAGAGCTGCTGAAATTGAGGATGTCTTTGTGCCAAGGTCCACACTGGCAAGCATATGCATTTCTCCCACAGCCATTTCTATTCATCATTTCCATAAAATGGGATATTAGCCAAATGTACTGTAAAATTTGCTATTCACTGCCAAGAAGCAGGAGGGCTACATGACCCAACATGCTTGTGTATCAACAGCTTTAGAAATCAGTTCCGATACCTGCTGAGCGTTCCACCTTCCTAATACACTTTGAAACACCTTTCCAGACAAGCCGTGACCTCAACTGGTGATAAAGCCAGTTTTTGTTGATTATCATGGCCACAGCCAGGTGCACAATGATATTATACTATATGTAACCTCACTACAGCTAATTCATTAACTGATAAGACATTAGCTGCTGTACTGGTGACTAATGAACCTATAGGTGTGCTTTAAAGCTCCGCATAAATAAGCAGGTTGCAGGTGAGATTAGTCTTGTGCTTCGAGAAAGACAGGCATTCCATTTTCTCATGAAACAAAGATCCAAGTATGGTGGAAAATCTTTGGATGAACCCATTAATCAGATCGGTCATTTCATGTTCAGAATACAGTTGCATTGCAAGCAGGATCATTCCATGAAACCGCTCCAGACAATCACTATGGCAATGGACAATGCTTATCATTCCTCTAATGAACTATTACTGATGATTGTCAGTTGCAATTGGAGAATATATATATCACAATCCAACATATTTACTTTCTTTTATTTGGTAAGGCTTGTTCTGCTTTCATCATTTAGTATCAGTGTGAAATATTTAAATATATATGTTTCCATTTGAAGCCTAAACATTTACCAGTTCCTCATATTGCACACAAGGTAGATTGCACATTCTACTTTGTTTCAATAAACAATACAGCCTTATTGTGAAAGAAGAATGCCAGAAAAAAAGGATTTGTTCATATACTGTACATTGTAAATCACAATTTCTGTTTGAGGATACACCACTGGAGGAAAAGTAATGCTTTAATTACTTTTTTGGGGTGAATCAGAAGCCTGGGACACAATACTGCCTGTATGTATTTTAGACACAAGCTTTCCATTGCACACAATGGTAAAAAGGTAAATGATTCAACGGTTGATTCTCCTATATTCCATCATAGCGCCATGATAGAAAATATCCACATTTCATCTAGGAAGTGATTTTTCTTAACCTTCAAATGCAGGAATTTCTAGGTAACCATTAAACTAAACAAAACAAATATACATCATCATAAACCTGTCACTGGGGAAAAGGTATTCAAATTGACCTTTAAACTGAATTCTAATGGAATTCTACAGTAAAAAAAAGGAGAGAAGGTACAACCTTTATTTATCTAGGCAGCTACAAAGTTACTGGTGTGCCAGAATCATCAGATGCTGCATCAGATAACAGGATGGGCAATTTCGGCACGAGTTTCATTTGCTGCACAATGTCCGTTACTTAGCAATTAGTCAGCATACAACCCGAAATAGGTTCCATACTTTCACCACTCCACAAAAGTGTCTTTGTACACACCTATTTCAGCTGACAATTCTATCATGCTTAGCTATGTCAAAAAGCCATTCCAACATTTACACACACTTTATTACAAGTACAATCTTTTGCAGTAAAACCTATCATGTGATGAGTGAGCTGCAGGATTTTTTTTTTTTTTTTGTAATCATTGAATGCATTAGCCAAAATACAAAATCCCCCAGCAAAGTCTCCTAACTTTTTTCATGACATTTGCATTATTAACCAGTACTAGTTTTCACCTGCTATCACCAGGTTGGAGACTGAGATGGCAAGGGGGCTTTCCTTACACCCCTGGTTCAGACACCCCTGATGTTGAGCAGAGGGCGGAAGGGCACAGAGTGGCATGGGTGGTGGGAGTCCAGTCCACAGAAGCTCACTTCAAGTGGCAGGCGTGGCCAATAGATGTTCATACCCACAGACAGGAAAGTCCCTGGGGAGAGGCAGCCTAGAATGCAGCTGGCCAGGACATTGAAACTCTCAGACTGTAGCCTGGACAGGTGGAGGTCAGGAGCCGTAAAGGCAGGCAGAGTTGTGGCCAGGAGGAAGGCAGAGGACACACTGGAAGGTCAGCAGAGATTAGTCGTAGTCAGGACATACCTGAGGTCATACCAGAAAGTCAGCAGCGATGAGCCATAGTTGGGAACTAGCCAATTCAGTAACAGGAAGGCAGAGAGAAGTCTCAGGGCAGGACAGGTAAGCAACAGGAAAATAGATCAGGAACTGGTTGAGGATTCAAGCCGCAGGGTAACTGCTAAGAACCATCTAGCAACTTACTAATTCAGCTCTGTTCTCTAAAAAAAAAGCCGTTTGGTGCCATGATTGGAATTAGGCACATGTGCCCATGTTCTGTATGTGCATTCATCTGCATGCAGTGACCTCATGCCTTATAGCGTGCTCATATGAAAATGTGCGCACATGCTGCCAAGGACCCTTGCTCTGCATATTGGAGCAGGCACTCATCTTCTTTTGATGCGGTTGTCACACCTGCACACATTATGCCAAATAAATTATTTACATTTACTCTGAAACATTGTTAAAGGGACGGTGCCTTAATCTGTGTTATGTACGTTTTCTTTTTTTGTGTTGTATGATTTACAAGTACTAGAAAGGGAATAAATGGTTTAAGAGGGAGCCGTGTTGTATTTTTACACTAAAATATGCAACAGGTTACTGTTAGTATTAGTTTTGATTGACATGTTTAACCCTTTGCATACTGCTTTTGCTTCTCGCTCGAAAAACACAAAATTTTTTCCTGTAATCAAAATGTATGTTAAGTCTTGCTGGGTGACTAAATGAGTGACAAAATCTGGAATATTTTCTTTCCTGGAAAAAGTGCTTCACCAGGCTTCTTTCCGTGCTGGCCGCGTAAAAAAAAAAAAAGAAAAAAACCTGCTGTGAACCGTTTACAGGCAGCAGCACGACTAGGTGCTTAGGTCTTCCGACATAGGCCACGGTGGAGGGGAAGCTGGAGGAGCATTTTGAAAAGCAAACATGAGCATTCTATTACTCTTTACCCATCCAGCAAAAATGTTAGCAATTGTTTTGAAGTCTATTATCACTACTTTTATTTTACTCTTTGAGCATGCCGACATTACAAATTTTACTTAAATAGGCACTCCAGCTAGTATCAAAACTTAACCCTTGCAGTGGGGCTACCCCCACACTTCAAGGGTTAACTGCTTATTTTTGTCTAGGTGCTGGAATAAATAAGATACACTCACCTGATCCTTGGTCCTGGGCCAGTCACCGCTCTCCCCTTTACTCCAGACTTGGTATGTCCCTCTGTTTTCACATCTAATGTAGCTGAATGGATCTGCATTAGACATGATGACATCAGCAGGGCTTAGACCGGCAGGTGGGAATCAAGGATCAGGTAAGTATATCTTCTTTCCAGGGCCTAGACCAGTGGTGGCGAACCTTGGCACTCCAGCTGTGCCAAAACTACAAATCCCAACATGCATCTGCCTCTGGGAGTTATGTCTGTGGCTGTCAGAGCCTTGCATTGCCTCATGGGACTTGTAGTTCCAAAACAGCTGGAGTGCCAAGGTCCGCCACCACTGGCCTAGACCAAACTGAGGATTTAACACTTCCTGTGCCAGGATAGCGCCACTGCAAAGGCTAATTTTGGTTTTGGAGTTCCTCCTTAACGCTATAAAATAATTGGTACACAGATGAAGCTTGTAAGTGCACTTTTTCTCTAAGAATCACCATTAAAAGATTCTGAATTAACCAACTGCACACGCATACATATTTCTAGCAAAATTGTGCACAAAAAAAAAAAAAAAAGATCCTTGGTCTTCATATATTGCAATACACGTTCAAGCTGGACAGCTATGTGACAGTGATCCCTCTCTGGCCAGTCTCTACTGTACTTAAAATATCTACTTTAGTTGCTCATAGCATACATTAAAAAGAACATATAAAATGCTAATATAGGGTGAACCTGCACCATACAAACAGAACTAGAGAAAATGTCTGGGTACAAATGAATTTTTACAGTTCTGTTGTATAGTGCAGATCGATGACCAGACCAGGGTCTGCAGCTATGTAAGGGATCGCTATGATGCAGCTGGCCACCTTCAGCAAGGTGGGTGGGAGAAAGAGTTAAGGTGGCCATACACTGTACAACCATCGCAAGACCTTAGTCTTGCGATGGTTGTAAAGTGATTTTTTTAAAAACTTATGATCTGCCCATCTTGGACAGGCAGATCGTACTCTCGATCACCGCAAGCCCGCACCCCTGAGGGGCGGGGTTCCGATGACCGTATTGCTGAACGGGCAGCGTGCGCACACCGGCCCGTTCGGCATTTGTCTCCCGAGCACCGTTCAAATCAGCCGCAAATCGTTTGATTTTCGGCTGGTTTTTCTACTGTGCTCCTTAGACAAAAGACGTGCGACCGTACAGTAGAAACGGTCGCACGTCTTCGTTTACACTGCTCGATTCTCGTACGATCGCGGGATTTCCCACGATTCTCGTACGAGAATCGAGCAGTGTATGGGCACCTTAAAAAGATACAGACATGGGGGGGAGTGAGAGAAAGAGACACAGACTATTTGGATTTGACCCCAGGCATTATGCCTCTTCCATTGCTGAAATCACCATTACTTGAATGTCACATTATGATATAAAGCTATAAACAGTGCATCAAACCACTTCCACTGAGAAGCAGTGCTAGAAGAGGGCTCTGAAGACTAATTCATGCTTTGCCATGTCCCCCTCCCCCATCCATAACACCATAAAAAGAAAATAAGAGCACTTTATTTTCCAGAGGCTACCAAACTCTGAAAAGCTGATAATAGGGATGCACCGATACTGGAGTACCAGTGCCGATACCTGGCATTTTCATGAGAACTACCAGGGCTTTAGCTGGGACCTGGCTCTGGTGCTCCACCACTGTATTGAAATCATTAGTCTGTATTTGTTTTCGAAAAACTGTCACATGACAATAAACAAAAATGTATCAGTACTTGCAAAACTGGTATCTGTGCATCCCTTTATTTATATTTATAAAAAAAAAAATCGTACATTAAAACAGAGATGTACAAATCCCAGGAGCTCCGTGTGCTCCTTACAAATGACAGCTGCCGCCTAACTTTTGAATTTTCCTCTAGTCTAGTCTTGGAGCTCAAAAAGTATCTGTACTTGTACCAAATACTATACTTGGTATCGGTGCATCCTTAGCTGATACCTATTGAAAAATAAAAAAGGTAAATGGTCTGGTACACACACACAAACTTCAGAACACACGTGCATTGATTTTGATCTCTCCATCAATATTTTGTAGGTATTGGCAGCCTGCAAAGCTTACCAAATGCCTCAACTGGCGTCAATGACAACGTTCCAAAAATGCGTCTCTGCAAGCTAAGCCTCTAGAGTTTACATCTACTTTAAGAGCACTAATATGTATACGTTTTGAGAGTTCATTGACATTAAAAAGACCTAAAAATGTAAGTCTTAAGGTTGTAGAGTTTACAATATATACAGTATTTTCCTACACAAAACTAACGAGTGATTTCATAGTTTACCACCGGTCACTTCTATACCCCTCTTCTGCCTGAATGTCCTTCAAGAAAAGCAACCAAGCACAGGATCAGAATACCTGTACAGGTATTGGTACTTGTAAAACTTTATTTTACATACAAATCTGTACACACATATTGCAATAAATGGTTCATTTAGGGATATCAGGGAGACCAGTAGTCTCTATGGACAACCATAAATCTGTATACCAAATAAGACATTTCAAATAAATTATTTAAAAGAGATTTATATTTCCTGAGCATTTTATAAAATGAATAGTACAAGCTTTGGGGATTCCTTCAGGCCTGAAGAAGGAATCTAAGGAATCCCAAAAGCTTGCATCTTTAAAAACTTTGGTCAGCCAATAATAATTCAGTAGTTTCATTCATTAAAGTTTGCTTACCCTGGTACCCTTTGTTATGCAAGTGTTCCCTTCTTCCCATTGCATTCTCCAGCACATTCATTTATTTTACATTAAAAAGAGTCCAGCAAAGAGCACCACTTCCTCATTCAGCTACCTAATGGACATGCAGTGCATGAAGATTGTCATACTGTAGTCCCTGAGCAATACAAGTTATCAGAAGTGCTACACTAGGACTTTTTTTTCCCCAAATAGCACACTGATGAACAAATTGGGAGAAATACAGCGTTCGTCTATCAACTCAGATTAACAGCATTATAAAAGCACACAATCTACAATTTCTAGACTGACCACTGACAAGCCAAAAGACAATCTGCCAGATTAGTTTACAAGACAAAAGTATGTATGTGATGGAATACATAGCAGCTAATCAGATATTACCCCTTCTTTAATCGGACTGGTAAATATGAGTTATGCTGATTTGCATTACGTTTGCACAAAGTGCAATTATTAAGGAAAACATTCTGGGGGAATATGGAGGCCACCACTGCTCAACTCTCCTTCTGAAAATACTGGATGTCATATTGATCTAATGGCTTCAATACTTATGGACTAGAATAAAATAGACAGATAAGGCATTAGGACTCCACTTTCCACGTGTTTGTTTTGGGTGCCAGGGTCATTTATCAAGCCTGAGACAGCTAGGCAACTAGCACTTTAAGAAGGAGTTCTGCAATTACAGTCCCCATATTTCTCTCCATTCAGAATTCATCTGCTGTTTTCTTGGAACCAGGTTCTCTGTTGTAGGCACACTACAAATATTCCAAATTAATTTTTCTCCATATGAACAGATAAGATTCTATTTATCTAAAAGACCAACAGTGTGGAAGTCTGTTAATCAGTCGCCACTAGTGGTTCGGCAAGCGATTTGTGGCAGCTATGCAACGGTGTATCAGCAACTTGGTACCCAAGAAAAATATATAAACAACCCGTACATTGTTAGATCATTTTTAAAAGGCACTCCATGATTTAGGTGAACAGTCACTTGAGGAATTGAGGTGCATAATGTATTTCTATAACTGTAGCTTGAAGACATCCTTACAACAGCATCACCAAATGTCCAGACTTGTGCGACATGCAGGCACATGCTAAGCAGGCTTGCATAGCTACACCAGCAATAAAAAAGGCACGTTTTCCTGAATGTGGTCAAAGTTGGTAGATTGCAGCCAGGAATGTTATCAAAAAGGCAAAGTTTCCACAGATGTATACTGTCAGCACAATCTTCTTAAAGGTGTGGCCCTGGCAATATAAAAATAGCAGTCAGGCAAAACAGTAACAGGGATCCAACAGGTCACAAAGCACAACAAAGGAAGAGACAGCAGCGCCCTCTTGTGCCGAATATGTGAGTTACAGGAGAACACATGAACCCTTATAATAAAGTCCAACAGTGATGCTGATCACACAGTGGGAAAGCACAGACTGAGAATTAAGCCCATCTCCCGTCACAGCTTTTATGTTCGCATAGTGTGGGGAAGGTTTTTACTTTGTCTGTAACCCCATATTGAGCAAATGTTGCCTTACTTTGTCCCTGTGAAGCTCATACAAGAAATAGGGGGAGCAGTTGTCACCAAGACAGGAAGACATGAAGAACTATAAAATGTCAGAAGTTCAAAATCTTTCCCACTATCAGAGAAATTTTCCATCACCATTCACATCATTCCCGTCCTTACAGAAAAAAAACAAACAGTGGGGGGCTTTATCCTCCTACATGCCATTTAAAATGAAATAAGCTTTGTCTGGAGATGAGACTTAAAGTGTAAGCCATTTCAATAAGATACTATCCATGTTAAAAGTCAGAAAACACAACATATGGTTACGAGAAATATTTTCAGGTCCATCGCTCTACAAGATCAAGGACTAATATATAGTAAGCTACTGAGAGCTCCCTCTTGTGACTAATAAACAAATCTCTAATTCAGTAAAATAGAAATTAGTAACAGGTGCACCAAGAGTCAGCCGATTCACTTCGTGTATTTCCAATTTGGCTGCAACATTAGGATAGTACCTATTTTATGTTTGTCGCATGTTCTCGCATAGCAGAACTTAAACGTATTTTTTTTTAAAAGCCGTTTACATTTTACTTTCTCTTTCCTAAAAGTTTTTCTCTACACTGGATTTCCCTCTAGCATGCAAAGGGCGGGGGAGTTGATATTCAACCTATTTTATTATATTAACCTAAGATTTGAACATTGTTAAGTATCTAGAAGCATTGTATGCGAGTGAGAGGAAGCTCAGTGTCCCTGCTCTTTCTATCAGGACAGCTAGAGTTCTCCAGTCACTTTGAAATTGTACAGAGAAGCTCCCAAGGACAGCTGCACAGACATCTAAAAAGGAAGATTTTATGTTAAGAAGTTATGTTGTGTGAATGGGATCAGAAAAAACAAACATACTGTAGAGAGGTTTTGTCTGCAAAAGTGGAAATATACTTTAAAATTAAAATATACAGCTGTACAGTTACATAGACACATCTTAAACAAAAAAAAAGGGAAGGTTTATGAATGTCAACAAAGTGAAGGTTTATGAATGTCAACAAGATACTCACCTTTTCCCCAATAAATATAGGATTTAGAATATGAACCCGATCCTCTTCCATTATTTTGGATTCTGTGATGAGCAGAAAGAGTAAAATATTTCTGTATATTCACAACCAAAATAAGAAGAATGCATTTCAAGTTTATAAACGTGATTGGATGGTGTAAAATAAGCCGTTTACCTGCAGACTACATTATCACAATAGTAACTATTAGGGATGCACCGGTACTGGAACTGACACAGGGGAGCAAGAAGCTGGCTTGCCGGCCAATCAGAAAGCTGGACGCAGGTCATGACCTGCCTCCCGGCTTCCTGATTGGCTAGGAAGTCGGCTTCACACTGCCTTGCGACACTGCGAGGCAGCCTGGCTTTCTGACCCTATCAGGAAGCCGGGCGGCGGGTCATGACTGAATGGCCGGGAAGCCGAGCCCACGCTACCTCGTGATGCCGGTATTGGTACTCCGTATCGGCGAGTACTGAAAAAAAATATCAGTACTCTATACCGAAAAACCAGCATCGGTGCATCCCTAGTAACTATGGCAACTAATGGCGTGCCAAAACAACAAAGCCATGCTGGACCTTGGTAATATTGATGTCATACATATACACACATACATGTGTACATATATACACACACACGTATATGTTTGTCTAATGCAGTTAAGTAAACCAGCTAGGTCCCCTGCCCACTCCCAGCCTATGACAGGACACAGAAGAAATATCAACAGATAGTTCAGGTCACCTCGCTGGCCTATATGTACTGCCTCTATAGTCACTATAGTGCTGTACAAGAGATGCCAAAATTAAGTCAAATGCAGGTATTTATATACTTCTTGCATGTAAAATACATTTGTAATGCCAAAGTTTTTATGTGCCATTGAAGCAAAGCCTCAATATAGGCGACTGTCATGGGACCCCAAAGTTTCACAGTACCGCTGCTGGAGACACTACTGGGCTTATGGAGCACAGTGCGATAATCCAAAGCAGAGACAGGCTACTTCAACTGGATGCAATCGGCTACTGCAGCTTGCATGTTGCTCCTTCCCAGCTAAGTAAGCCTGTCAGTTTTATATCAGGGACCCCAAGCATCAAGTTATTTTAACCTGAAAGCCACAGAACAGCACCCTATATAAAGCAGTTTTCTTCTTTACAGAAGCTCACAGAATCAATAAATCCTGTAATTATTCAACTTCAAAAACAGGTTCTGGGATCTTCAGAAAGTGGCTCCAGACTTTGAGGCCAGGAGAAGAGACTACCAACAAAGCTCACCTCTGCGCAGGAGACAGAAGCTGTGCAGCTCCAGCAAAATGTCGATACACACATGCCATAGTACAAAGCCAACCATCGTGTAGGTGTCCCAAGGATCTGGGAGTTCCAGCGCTTGTAAGTCCATACCCAAGAATATTGCAGCCACTACAATACAGGAAATAATGTTTAGTCCATAAAAAAATAAAAAAAATAAAATAAAAAAATGTTGTAAAATCTTTTTCCTTAGGTCAGTTTATACTGCCCCATCGAGGAGGTTGGGACACTGCTGAAAAGTTGTAAGCCTGACTGAATAAAAGGAACTAGGATGCCAAGGTTTCCCCTACAAGGGTAAAGAGGGATGTAACCTAATTCAGAATATGGAACTAAAGCTTGCCATACACCTATAGATTTTCTGCAGATTTTCTATGGTCAGATGGAAAAAGTGCAACAGATTCCTCCATCTACGCTATAGTGTGTGGATGGAGGAATCTTCCGCTGGGCCAAGCTTCAGTATCTTGCTAGTCGGCCAGCCGGCTGTCAAAATAGCTGAACAATCAGACTGGATTGCAGGCATTGTTCAGGTGTTTTGAGAGTCAGTCCTCAAGAGCACAGTTGTAGAGCAAGGAGCAGGAACCTTAGCCACACAGCTCAAAACATATACACCTAAGGACAGACGCAAGTAAAGAATTCCAGGGAAACGGATCAACTATGGAAGGATAGATCAACTCCAAGCCATCAGGTCCCACGAAGGCCTCCAAACATGAAGTACCTGCAGCAGGATCTCAGCAAGTGCTGCCTACCGACTATGCAGGGGAACACAAGGCCCTCCAGCGATGGTTTCTTCGTGCCATGCCACATTCAGGTGTGCATAGCTCTCTGGAGTTCAGACTACCAGTTGATGAGAGCCTGATGGCAATGCAATGTCTAATGTAGACAGTGTGGTGGAGAGGAGAACTCTGAGCATTGTCCAGCATAGAGACCAGGCCACTCGTCCAGTCAAAGGAAGAACTCCCAACCCTTCTCCAAGGTGAATGTCTTATAAGTAGGGATGCACCTATACCGTTCTTTTGGCATCGAGTACGAGTTCTGATTTTTTTTTTTTTCAGTACTCGCCAATACCATGTACCGGTGCTGTGACCGAGTACGGGTGCAGTGTGCCCCGATTATCAGGAAGTGGAGCGTTGGATCATGACCGGTCGCCCGACTTCCTGCTTGCCAGTGCAGCCGGTGTTCTAGCAAAAAAACACTGGCTTTACTTACTGAGGCTTCCTGGCCAATCAGGAAGCCGGGCGGTGAGTCATGACCCGATTCCCGAGTGGCTAGGAAGCCAGCTTCACTTGTTGGTAGGCAGCCTGGCTTCCTTACCAATCAGGAAGCCGAAAGGTGGGTCATTACGTGCCACCCGGCTTCCTGATTGGCTAGGAAGCCGGCTTCCTAAGCAATCAGGAAGTCGTGAGGCAGGTCATAACCCACCACCCGGCGGCTTCCTGATTGGAAAGGAAGCCGGCTCCATACTCCCACGGCTCTGCCGGTCAGAGGGAGATCTGCCTCTGACTGGAAGTTCCGGTATCGAAGGTAAGTATTGTAGCATTTACCAAATATTCAGTATTACAGTAATACTAGGATTGGTATTGGTGCATCCCTACTTACAACACCTAAGTGATGTCCAACAGAATCCAGGTCAAAAAACAAACTCACGTTGGGATCAAAGAAATGAAGACCAAAAGTTTTCGAGAACCAGAGTTAAGCTCCAGATAAGGACACCCGTGCAACAGGGGATGGAGAGGACACCACCCTATTCACCCTAAGAGACTGATGGGTTATGCCAGAGACTTTATGGTACATAGATGCCGTCTGGATGCCTCTCCTTAAGTCTAGGCAACCAGATACTGTGGGGGAGGCTGAAGGAGACAGAATCAAAGAGGGGAGGAGAAATTTAATCGTCCAACACTCTACAAGCTCTTAAAGGGGAAGGAGGGTAATTTTCCTGACAGTTAAGGAAGGGTCCACTGTCTGTGACGCATAGTTACCCATACTAGACACCTGTGAGGCTCCATTGGGTTGAAGCTTGCAAGCATTAAGCCCTTTAGAATAGTTCTGACTGCAAGGGTCCAGAAAGCAGAATCTCTAGGGAAGGTCATCTTCGTGTTCTACAATAAGGATGCCAGAAGAAGACACTAGGGTGGACATAGGGTCCAGTGCTTCAAGAAATAGCAGGTGTTTCTGAAGGGCACTGAGGGGTAAGGTCCTTATTAGAGAAGGCATCAGTAGGAACCGGTATAAAAAGCAGCCCCACTTGCAGAAGGCTTATCAGAGGAATTAGCCTACGCCTGGCAAATAAATCCTACAATATACAATGCTAAAACTAAAATATACAATGCTTTCATTGATTTTTAGCCCCTTACTTATACAATGTAAAAGGTCAATCCATCCAAAGATCCATCCAAAGACAACCTACAGGTGAAACTCGAATAATTAGAATATCGTGCAAAAGTAATTGCAGTAAGTGCTGCAAAAGGGGCCCAAACCAAGTACTGAGTACATATGCATGCTTGTACTTTTCAGAGGTCCGATATTGTTCTATGTACAATCGTTGTTTTATTGATTGCATGTAATAATCTACTTTTTTGAGGTTGTGGATTTGGGGTTTTCATGAGCTGTAAGCCATAATCATCACAATTATGACAAATAACGGCTTGAATTATCTTGCTTTGCATGTATATCTCATATATTAGTTTCACCTTTTAAGTTGCATTAGTGAAATAAATGAACTTTGCACGATATTCTAATTATTCGAGTTTCACCTGTATAACTAGGACAGTGGGAGCCAAGTGTAAAAGGTTAATTAACTCCTCTCCATTCTGTCCTTTTCAGGTTATGACTCTCTAAAAACTACAGGGAGAGCAGCAGTTGTTCGCTCAATGTTTTCTGTTCATATGCCATCAGCTCGAGGCAGATTGATGCAGCTTAGAAGGTGATCAACTACAGGCTGAGATAGTGCATTTGACATGCAGGTCAACTGCATGTCAAACGCGCCAATGAACTGTGAATGGTCCTAGATGCAGACTGAATGTACCTGAACGCAAGCTGCATTTGTCCATCAACTTACCGAGTGTCAAGACAGGCTTATTTCAACAAATTGCTAACGTAAATACATTAAATGACATACCTGCTATAATTCTGGCAGCTGTGCCCCCTCCCCAGTGCGTCCAGTTAAAAAGAGACCTCCTAAAAATCAAGAAAAAAAACATATTAAAAGTTTAAATAAGAAAATGGATATAAAAGTACAATAACTCACAGGTGATCACCAAGGTACCTTAAATGTAACAATTACATTTATATTCTCCATACTTCAAATATGAGAGATTTATTGCTTACCATTATTGATTTCATCAATACAAAATTGGCTTGGATCTCGAAGTCTGCCCTGAATAATATTTAGCCCCCATACCACATAATAAAAGCTTCCCATAGATATAGGTGAACAGTAAGATGTGCACATAAAACCTGATTGCCCCTTCAGCATTTGCCTTGGCCAGGTAATCCATTATTATGAATATGTGACTTGTCTGATTGGTTATGGTATGCCGCAAGGTGGTGTAAACAGAGGTTGTTGCTGCCTTAATAGAAAAGAGCAGCAGTCAGATAGGATTTAAACCCGTCTAACCAACTGTCCCACTCAGGGTGGCAGGCCTAAATGTGTTGCCTGACCTAGACACAAGACTGTTATACAATCCAATATGTGCCATCTCCTCTATGGGTGTCCTAGCTCACAAATCATCAGTTTTGCTAAAATCTGACATAATAACATTAACAGGGTTACTCACAAAAAGGGTGAAGAGTTTGGAGAGGGCAGGAGAAGTGAACAATCTAGCACAACATAGCTGAACTGGAAAGTGAGCTGAATTGGAGAATTTTTCCAGATCAGCTATTTTGGCCTAGATTGTTCATTCTCCTGCCTTCTCCTAACTCTTCACCCTTTTGTGAATAACCCTGTAAATCTTGATCGGCCTAGCTTGAGATAAACCTGAGCATCCTACCTTTTTCAGCAGCCACCTAGAAGCCCGATACCCAATTTGACTTCCTAAAAGTCAGTATTTTGATAAAGCCTGCACACCCCCTGCTGGTGCCACAAAGTACTTCATAGTGGCAGGCAAGAGCAACTATACACACTTACCACTCTTTGGAAACATTTTATTTTTGGTGTTGGGAAGTTCAGAAAAAAGGCATTATGCTGTGCCTCCTACGAAGTACAGACTTGGCACTTTTGAAGTCCTGTTAAACGGTTATTTTGGGTTGGGGACATCAACTTTATGAACCGACGTTATTGCCATTCTTATGCTCCAAAAACATTTAACTTTTGCTGATGGAAATACTGAAGCCAGTCAATAGGACAACCAGGGTGTTAGATTTTCCAGAAGCATGGTAGCAACGGCAGCCTCTGCATTTCTCTTTAGACAAGTTCTCTTTAAAAGGCGCAACAATGTCTGTATTAGAAAAAACTGTTGTAGCAGATTTCTTACCTGGGACTATGAGGTGGTGGTCTGAAGATTGCCATCACAGGCTGGAGAACTGAAAGAGCCATAACAACACAACCCAGATATGGATGATAACCCGCACGCTGCAATCAAAGCAGAGCATGCAATTAGCATATACATGACTAATGGTCTTCCTAAGTCCTGGCCATCTGTAAAATGGGGCAATCTCACCTTAATGCCCCGCACACAGCAGTACTCTCCATGTAAACACACATTTGCCAATTCCCAATCCTATACTTAGGTTTCTTCTTAATGTGCAGACATACTTGCTCTTGAAAGCATAGGAAAAGAATGAAGCATCTAAGTATTAAAGATCTGCAGGCAGTGAACAGCACAATATCAGCCATAGATCAGAAGACCCAGTGCCTGGGGCAGGCAAAATTTAGTTCAGCAACATGAAGAAAAGGTAAATGCAACACTCAGGGTGTCCATAAATTTCTGTAAACACCTTTTATACAGTATAATAAAATATGTTCGGGGGAGCAATAGTCCCAGCCAACAAACTCATCTCATTGCCTTAATGCATTGAAAGGCATGCATATTTGCTGACGAAAACTACCCTTTGTCCAATATATTCTTGCACATGTGGCAGGGTATAACAGGTTTATGAACTAGCCCCAAACACTGGATTTACTGCTTTCCATTTTACAATACAGTGATGCTCTTCCATTAAAAGTGTATATACACTTTTAATGGAAGAGCATCATATATACGTGTACCAGTTTGGACAGATCACAAGCACCCTTTACCTGCTGAGCTTAAAAATTTGTAAAAATAAGAGCTCAAGGCAAATCTCCTAAATCAGAGTAGCAAGCCATACACCAGTCAGCTTCCCTCGCTGATGACTTGGATGCCTAGCACAAGGAAGAGATGATGCTTCCAATCTCAGCAGAACTATTTATAGCAGACATTTTCAAAGAAACCTGTGCCGACAGAAATACATGGGTAGAATGCAGCCCTCGGTTTCTGGGGGGAAAAATAAAAATAAAGGCTGCAGGTGTGATCTACCCCTACAACTCAGTTCCTTACCTCCCTTTTTCCAGGTCCCTTTTGTTTACTAGTATCTCATATCACCACCTCCTCTTTTCAATTAACCAATCCCAAATATCTCACCAAGATTAAATTCACCAATACAACATGCGACATACACATGAAAGCCCACTAAGTCCTCAAACCCCAACCCCTGACTGCACATGCCTCAATTTCTTGTTTAGAAATCTCTTTATTACAGTGCATCAATCTGAAGTAGATAAGCAGTTACGTAAACTCATATTGCTAACAAATAGATTAAGTGTTCTTCGTTACTTAGTGGTAACTACTCTGCACAAGCACAGTTTTCATGTATGTTGTATGCTAACAACTACCTGTACATTTTAGACATATATGCTCGGATAATAAATTCTTTACATTTTATGTAAAAAAAAAAGATTAATTAAAAAGTATGCTTAAATTAGGAAAAGGTACTGTAGCAAGTTCAAAATGTTATATTACTGGCAGTCGCACATTAAAGTACTGAGATCAGTTTAAAATCATTATGTTACGAAGCATTCTAAAAATGATGCAGAACGGGGATGTCTTGACTTCAATTACAGAATGCTTGTTTCAGGTCAGTAACTCGCAAATGACTGTAATCAGAATATTAACATTTTCTAAAGGAGGTCAGCTATGGCAACCTAAATATTTCACTCAGAACAGGTTTCATTTTAAGGCTTTAAAATTTTAAATCAGCCAACAGGAATTTTGATTTAGTTTAACACAAAACCCTCCTTTTTGCAAATGCTAGCTGCCAGCTATTTTGAGTCTGAACAAGGGTTTCTGACTTTCCTGATCTGGTTACTTGTTCTGGATCAGTGACTTGCGTAGAGGTTCAGCATAACCAGGCAACTAGAATTTTCAAAAGGTTAGCAGCAGTAGCAACTAGTACTTCACAATTCGTTGTATTAACTGCTTCTTCTCACAATGCAAGTCAAGAGTCCGCTAAGACACTGAAAACAATGCTCGCCCTCTGTGGCTGACATCTTAACTCCATTTCAAAAAGGAAAACTATAATGGGAAGAACCCATTACCAGTTGATCTAAAAGTCTCTATAATTGTTACAACAAAAATATAAAGGAATACTTGTATACAAATATGAAAGTCAAAATAAAAGCAGCTTTGAAAAATGGAGTCCCGCACTTCCTTCCCACTGTTAAATGAATGAATCGATTTGTAATACCAGGTCACCTATTGTGCTGCTCGGGATCTCATGAGGTCGCACAAGAACTACCCCAACCACAAAGAATCTCATCTTTTTGAAGTCACCATTGGACTGCCTCAATCTAAGACATTTGTGGTCATGTCATTGCAGCATTGGGAGAGCTGCACTGGGAATAGTTCCAGTTCTGTTTCAAGGTAAACAGTGCACTATGCACGCACTGAAAATACACTACCCTTTCCCTATAATGAGTACATTTCTTGGTAGTATAATCTTACTGTACATGCCGGACTTGTCACACACTATGAACAATTGTGCTATGAAAGAGATCAGATTTCCCCTTACGTTGCTCCATTTTCGACGGTATAAAAAAGGAAGTACAAAAGCCACTGCTGTTAGCACCACTGTGGTCACCATTAGCATACGATGCACCTAGTAAAAGAGAAGACAATAGTTTACAAATCAGTATATTAGCAGAGCAGGCTACATTGCTAGGGAAAGAATGTGACTGTTTTCAACGGTTACATGCTCGTTTTAGGGAAATTAAGCAGCCGTTATGACATTTGATCATAGTGAGTAAGACGACGGCTGTGAAGCTAGTATGTAGCATTTTTAAAAACCTAGTGATTTGCTATGCTGTGGCTTTTTCTGCTTGTCCCTACATCACTATTGTGTTCTGTAGTGATTTACGGCTGGAGGGAGGAACCAGTGCACATGGGGGAAGCAGGTATGTGTCGCACCCACAGGGGTCAAATACCAGTGGCTGTCAGAGATCTGTAACAGAGTTTTAGGACACTGCCTGCCAGAAAGGTAAGGGATACTTTCAGAGACCACAACTGCAAATAAAAAAAAACTGCATTCCAATACATGTAGGTAATTAACCACCTCCCGTCTGCCGAACGTAGGGAAATGGCCGAACGGGAGCCTTCTGGATCTGTGTGGGCGTCTTAAAATGTCCTTTGTGCCCGCACACGAGCGGGAAACTGTCAAAATTTGAAAGAGCCAGCGATGGCTGTTTACATACTAGCAGTCCAGCGTCTGTAAAGAAGTCCGATCGCTTGTATGTGATAACTCGTTTGCGCCAGCTCTGTGTCCCCCCCAAAAAAACGATATAAAATTCATTTCAGTACAGCGTTGCGTGACGGAATAAGTGTCAGTCAAAGTACTGCAGCGCTGAATACTGAAAAATGACCTGGCCTGGAAGGTTAATACAAGTGGTTAATGCATACAAGCATTGCATTCACTATGCGAATTCCTTTATTTCTCACACACACACACACACACACACACACACACACACACACACACACACATTACTTTTCCTCCACATTGCAGAGTTGGCCACCTAGGATACACGACATTGACAAGGGCTGAGGCAATATACAGAGCCATGGGAATAGGAGCACTTCAGCAGTTTCAGCAACATTAAAATAATTTGTTGTATCCTCTGCCAATAGTTCTCCTTTAAAGGACATATACAAAAACATAGGAGAATAAGGGCGGTAACAAAACAATTAAAAGGAAAAATAAAATAAAAAAGGTACTTTCTTTTCCCCCTCCGTTTATAAAATTTGTCTAAGGTGTTGTTTCCTTTAACAGGCAAGCAGAGGTCTAGGTCTAGTACAGAACTTGCCAAACTAATCTCTAACTGGGCTATTTTGGACACCAGGATAGTAATAGTACATATGAAATATTAATTTGCATCTTTTTGTTATATTTTAGATTGTGTAGGGGCCTTCTAAACATCTTGAATTGTAACTGTAATGTTCTTATATTGTAAAGTACTGCACAAACTGTTGGCGCTATATAAATTGTTATTAATATTAACATAGTTAAATTTTTATTTCACCTTGCACATTACCTCTTCCATTTAGCTTACAGATTGTACATGTTTTCCTAACTAAAATAGACTTATCTGTCCAATATAGTGTAATGATCTGTTTCTTACCTGGAACCAGACTTTCTGCCCACACAATGACGATGTTGGCCAGACAGGTTTGAAAAAGCGGGCGACAAGAACACCAATGCTAACTGTGGTCATCCAGGCCAGGAACATCATAGCACCTATTAAAAGGAAAGGTAATAGAAAAATCTGTCCCAGCTCAGTGATTGTTCCTGTTGCCATTTGAATAGATTTCAAATACAGAATATGAAAAGGTTAGACACACACTGACGAGTTTTTATAGGAGTCTGATTTACCCCCCTATTTGTACTTTTGACCACTGCTAATGAGATGAGGGGAAACCCTCAGGTTTACAGTAGTCACTAGAACAAAAAGGCAATGGTAAATTCCAATGAAACCACTTGTTCCAGTAACAACTGTCCGAGAGGGGGATACCTGTTACTTGGAGAGATTTCATTTAACTTTCTGTTGCATCTTTAGACCAGAAGGAAAAAACCCCAAAATTGTTGGCTTTACACTATAAGCACTGTATGGCGGACAGAGGATTATTAAATCTACACCTTTGGTAATGGATGGAAACTTATTTGACCAGTCTGAATGTTATCCCAACAATCCTTCCTTATTGCTTGCACAAGGGCGGTCTTCCTATATGCTCATAGTATACAAATGCCTATAAGTATTGCAAGGGTACATAAATTTAAAAAGGAGGACTATGAGGCGAGTGATTTACAGCCATCCTCATAGTTAGAACCGACGTGTGACAAGGAAACTGTCACAAGTCAGCTCTTTTGATCGGGAAGTGAGCGAACACATACTGTCGCTTGCTCACTTCCCGATCATCTCCCTACAGAGAGCGGTGCCTTCAGTCACCGCTCCCCGCAGGGATCCCCCGCTCCCCTCTCCGATCCTCCAGTGCTGACTAGAGGAATGGATGGGGGAGGGGGCGGGCACAGCTGGCTCTGCCTCTAGATAGGCAGAGCCAGCTGTCAGTCAGCCAGTGGGGAGATCTCAACAGTATTGCCGGGATCCGTCCCAGCTGCGGCGCTCGGAGGATATAGCAGGCGATAGGGTCACGGGAGGACATTAGTATATGTCCCCCCATGACCCTAAAGAGGGTCATGGGGGGACAAAAAAAAGGTTAAATAAAAAGGTTACCCCATAGTTCTCTTAAGGAATGAAATACTACGTAACACAACACTGCCATCTAATGTTTATATTCAATTATATTACAGTTACAAAGTATCCTGAGATTCGAAAATCAGGAGCGCAAGACTTGTTCCATTTGTTTCTAAGAAAGGAAACTATAGAAAAATACTGAATGAGCTCTGATGATAGGCCACTTAATTTTGTAATAAAGCTCTATTGAGTACCTCATAGCAACTCACATGGACAACATTACATTGCATGGCAATACTGGAGGGGGGTAATTAGAATGTAAACGCAGATAGCTTAGCACATGCTTAATTAAAAGGAACGATATTAAAAATATATATCAGTCAAAGAAGCACTAACTTACCATGAAATTTGATGAGTACCGGAGACCTTGATCCTCCAACGTCTTTAGGAGATCCACTAACATTAAACATTTTGCTGGTTATGAGGGGCTGTCTATGATGTCTTTTGATCATTCCTTTAAAACAATATTTATCAGTTACAGTGCGGTTCATTAAAAAAGGGCTGCAAGATTAAAAGTATAGAGCTATACCATTCTCGGCATCTCCATCAGCTAAGAATATGTAGTAATTGCCATCCAAAGGAAACCTCTCTGAAGACGATGGGATCCTGATGTCCCTACGGAAAGAACACTGAAGGACTCCGTCTGCCACACTCCACGCGATGTCTTGCAGAACCTCCTGTAGCCATGACATAACATGATACTTGTCACTATAGTATGGATAGACAAAACATTTTACTTTACATCTAAATCACATTTTTCCTCATTATTGGATAGAGAAGGTCTACAATGTGAGGGAAATCCCTCCTAAACAGTTGTCACAGGAACAAGTGTCCCCACTGGAAGATGCTTCCAAGTAACCCACAATAGGGATGCCACAAGACTGCAACCAAGCTTAGTGGACCCCGACTTTGAGGGAGTCGAGAAACTAAAAGGGACGCTTTACGATGTATGTAGGAATGGAGCTAGAGTCAGACATGTTGCGGCTGTAAAGTGTTTAAACAACATACAGGCTGAAAAGGCAGGGTAAGAGGCAAGACCTCAAGTACTCACGAAACTTGGACCGATAGTAGCAGATTAGGGTCAGTGACCTGGGAATTAGATGGCTAGAGTGACAAGTCACTGTAGGAAGGCAGAAGAAATGGATTAAAGATCAAAGTTCCACATGGCTCTACAACTAAAGAAGCAGTGGGAAGATACTTCCTCTATGCTGTATTGCAGGAAAGAGCACAGAGCACGCCCGTCCGACACTCCAACCAGCAGACAACGTCACACTTGCAGTGTTAACTCCGCAATAGCTGATGGGAAACTGGAAATAATTGTCCAGAAGCCAAAAAAAGAAAAAAAGTAGGGACTACTGGTGCTCAGCATGACTTGCCTACTAAGCGAGTCCTCAGAGACATGGCGGCTGGAAAACACTCACATCCAAATTAACCAGTACTTAAGACAAAGTCTGGAAAGCGCCCTACACAGAACCTAGTGCCCAAAGTTCAATTCCAGGCTAATCCTTCCAGCCGGTTCAGGATGGGGAACATTCCAAAAAAGCCAGGGAGAGAACAACTGTTTCAGATAGCTGTCGATTGGGGGTGAGGGGGGCAGAAGAAATGTAACAGAGTCTTGACTGAAGAAAAAAATGGTCTAGAAAGAAAAAAAAAAGGCAAGTGGCAGTATAACCCAAAAGGATAAGACTGCTTGTGTCCCTCAACCAATCAGAAAGAAAATGTACATTTCATTAGTATTTTACATAATTGGAACTTCTGTTTTAATTCTTAGAAGGCAAATAATCTAAAATAAGTTTAACCAAATAAAAGGAAACATGAATTTGGTTAGGTAATGAGATTACATGCCACATAAAATTTCTCAGAACCTTTCATGTAGACTTTTAGAGCATTAATGTCCGCACACCCTGACAAATCTTCAAATACAATTAGAATGATTGTTTAATTTAATTAGTTAACTGGATGCACGCTGCTTTCTTCTATAGCCAGATGCCTGTGGTTCCTAGTTAAAGCCTGAAACTTTATGCATCTTCACAAAGATATCCTTACAATATTAACGTCATTATGTCGCCTTGAAGAGACCCTGCATGGCCCCAAAATGTTGACGTCTTATGACAAATTGTTTAAGTAGAGGATCGCCGGCACTCGAAAAGTGACCGTCACTATGTCGCCCTGATGTATGTGACGTTACGTTCTAATAAATGAACACAAGGATTTAAATATATTCACGAGTGCTGGTGATCCTCTACTTAAATTTGAAGATGCACGGCGCCATCCGTGTTTATCACTACAAGCACTATATCTGTTTCTGGTTCCAGACGCTGTAAGAAGTGCACGTGAAACATCCATACACTACGTTATGACAAATTGTGACGATGATATAATAAGTTAAAACAAGGATTTATGATTTTTTACTTCAGGAGTGCTGGTGATTACCCAATTCTTAACTTAAAATCTCCAATACGGAGAACACCTGTTCTATTCTTAATTGGTGAGGAACAAGAAAAAAAAGCAAATAAAATGTATTTTTGTTTTGCAAACAAAAGGACAGGAAAATATTGATATAGTTTAGAATTAGCTGAAATAGCTGGTACTTGTTTTAATCATTTGGTGCAAAGCTATCCATTTATTTTACGGACCTGTCCTTTTTGAAATAAGCTTTTCATCATAACAATCTGTTTTTTTCGTTCACCTATTTATTGATGCAAACAGCCAGACAGTGAAAAATGCAGCTGGGAAATTATTGCTGGTGGCAGAAGTTGTGCTTGTAGCACTTAGAAAAATGCTGACTTCATGGGATTTTCATGCACTGCTTTAGAATTAGGATAATGAAAACAAACTTCTTACTGGGCTAAGATAAAAAGAAACTGAACACAGAAATAAAAGTGCTTTGCACTACAGCTGCTGCAGGATGATCTTTAGTTCTCTGCAAAATTACAAATAAGTATCCTTGGCACGTCAATGGAAAAAGTATGAAATTAGGAATTTGTATCGCTTCTCACATCACAGTCAATCACAAACTATTGCTACTACCTATTATTTGTTTGGCGACACCTACTAAGGTGAAAGTGACGGTTGTAATCTTTTTTAAACCCCACTTCATGTTCACTTCAAAGGTGCACTGCAGTCTGCACTAAAGATCCTGCAATAAATCTGATGTTGGGGAACCCAGCTGTTCTGTCAATGTTCCATTTGCAGTACCATGCATCTTCACCTACTATATCGCCAAGACTGCCTTTACCCCTATCTTCCCCTAAGGCCTTACCTAGACATTATACAAAGTCTGATCAAATTAGTAGAAAGGGGTTAAATAAATTCAGACTAACAATATAATGAGAACAAGATTTCCTAGAGCTAGTAATCAAACTGCAAACAAGTAATAGTTTACTTTTGAAAAGATAGAAGGGGAGGGAAACCCCACAAATGCAAAACCAACATTACCGGGGGTGCGGTTTCTGGGGGCATTCGTCCTGTAGTGTATGCCGGGTTTACATCAACAGTCTGGCCATCTCTCACACACAAGTAGTAGTCATCATCACCCTGCAAAAACACAAAAGATATAAGATTGTAAGCAAATACCAGTTACTACGTACAGGGCCACAGAAGATGACAGCACTAAATCATTGCAAACCAATACTAATTTCTAACTAATAAGATCTTCAGAATGCTATACTTAAGACTGCATAATATAATATCTATTAGCTTAAAAAAACTACCCAGTTAGCTTGTCAAGAGAGATGCAGGTACACAGTGGGTAATCAAAGACAGCAGAACAGGGCATAGAAGTAACTTATAGAGGAGAAAAGGTAAAATAAGAGCATAGCAGTGTGAAGGACATAGAAGGGTCAACCAACAGAGCTGGAGTGGACCACTCGCCTTCCTATCACTTGCACATACATATCCACTATTCATTATACATAAGTGTGCTGATGTATTGCAGCATGCCTGCATTTTCATGCAACACAATGCACAACACATTAGAACACAGTGCAGCACGCTGCAATGTGCTGTTGTACAAAGAATTGAATAAAGGTTTTTTTTGGATCCTGTCTGCGTCCGAGCATGGACACCCGCATGGATGTAGAGCTGCAACAGTTATTCGATTAAGTCGATTAAAATCGACATGATCAACGCCGCTGCCCGATCAGTGGTAATCATTATACAGCGCACTGCAGAATACCACCAGCTATAGAGGACTACAAATCCTAGCAATAGTACATTATAGTATAATGTACTATTGCTACATTCCTCTATAGCTGCTGGTATTCTGTACTGCGCCGCTGTATAATGTACTATATTGCACACTACACTCTTTTTTTACTTCCACCGCGCCAAGCTTGCTCCCGTGATGGACTACAATCTCAATAGAAACTAGTAGTCCATCACTGGAGCCTTTTTTTTTTTTTTTATCCGATTAAACGAACTTAATAATCAGCTAACTAATCGATTATGAAAATAATCGTTAGCTGCAGCCCTACATGGATGTGCAGTTCGGGTGAGCGTGCGGCCACGTACTCCCATAGAGAAGAACAGGCTGCTGCGTACAATCACACACAGCACCTGTGCTTCCCGGGAGCGGCCCGATATGGCCGTGCATGCCGGCTCTTAGTGTGAATGAGGCCCAAGAGTCACTTATGCACACAGCACTCTTTATACAATCAAAACACATTACAATCTGGACTACTGCACAGTATTTAGTTAGCCCTCAATAACCCTACACTCTCTATAGTTAGTAAACCAAATGAAGGATTTTTAGTCCATCACAGGAGCGAGCTTGGAGCACTGGCTACTTTACAACACACACAGGGACCGTGGGGAATAAAAGTAGCCACCCTCCAGAAGGAAGGACAGTGTCAGCACCAATTTAGGCTGGGTTCACACCTAGCCGTATCGAATATGCGCGTTTGTTGCGCGATTTGCGGTAAAAAAACGTGCAACAAACGCGTGTTTCCGAGGGCTACCTGGCTGTATCCCAATGGATACGCGCTACAAAAATGCCCCAAAGAAGCTCCCGTACTTCTTTGGGCGTAGAACACAGGGACCGTGGGGAATAAAAGTAGCCACCCTCCAGAAGGAAGGACAGTGTCAGCACCAATTTAGGCTGGGTTCACACCTAGCCGTATCGAATATGCGCGTTTGTTGCGCGATTTGCGGTAAAAAAACGTGCAACAAACGCGTGTTTCCGAGGGCTACCTGGCTGTATCCCAATGGATACGCGCTACAAAAATGCCCCAAAGAAGCTCCCGTACTTCTTTGGGCGTAGGGCGTTTTGTAGCGCGTTCATACGGCCTGTAATACGCCCAGGTGTGAACCATACCCATAGGAAATAATGGGATTTCGGTGTTTGAGCGTTTGCAGAGCGTACGAACGCGCTACAAAACGCCCAGGTGTGAACCGGGCCTGAGAGATGATCTAAGGAGCTACAGCCGAATGATACACAAATAAGATACATGGGGGGGGAATTTATCAAAACTGGAGCAGACAAAATCTGGAGCAGCTCTGCATGGCAACCAATCAGCTTATTTCATTAGTTTGTTCAGTTAACATTTGAAAATTAAAGAGAAGCTGATTGGTTGCCATGCAGAGCTGCTCCAGATTTTGTCTGCTCCAGTTTTGATAAATTCCCCCCCCATGTATCTTATTTGTGTATCATTTTGATAAAATTCCCCCCATTGCTGTTCATAGTTTAGGGTACTAACCAAAACATACAGCAGCAGACACTAGGAGTGGAAGTTGAAACCTAAGCAAACTTTTGGTCCTCTCTTCGTACACCAAGTTCTGTAGACATGGCAAACATGTTGAACACAATCTGAAAACTGCCTAATATGCAGGGGTTACAACCGGTGCCAGGTTTATTTTGCACTGGGGTCCATGTTGGGGTCCAAATTTGCTTTCAGACTTCATACTAACCATCCATTGGTCATGTGACAAGGCAAATGCCACATAGCCTTTCCCTGGTCCGCTCAATTCAATCTGCATGGAGTTGGCTTTCTTCTGGAAGGACAAGAAAGAGCACCACGCATCCCGCTCAGGGTCACAAGAAGTCGGATTCCTGACGCAGAATTTACTGCTGCCACATCCAAACGAGCTGAACTAAATATATGAAATCACACAAACATTAGTCAGACACTTATTTTATATTACATATGCTGCTAGTTAAAATTATATGTATAACATTGAATTCAATTACTACAGAATAGTGTAGTTTTATGGTTTTGGAAAACTCTGACCACTTAACTTCATTCTAAATGTACACAGCGAGCAGTAAATAGTGCAAACTAAAGAGCAATTACATTTTAACTTCAAAAACATAATAAACTGAAGTAAAACTGCTTCCCTTCAAACCCACCCATTTCAAGTCCTGACCATAATAAAGAAGTACCACGCCAATATAAATTCCTCAATGAAAGGAAAACAATTATCCGAGAAATATATAGGCCACCAATACTCCTATTGAAAACTACAGAAGCTCAGCTGTCATGCTGATCATCTGCCTTCAATAATTGCGGAATCGCTGAACTGAAAGAAGCATGCCGATCATAATGTAACAAGTGTAATGATTCCCTTTATTAGCCATCTTAAAATGACACTAAACTCAGGGAGTTAAATCTTAAAAATGCATTAAAGCACCTTAACTATTCACAAACATGTAGTTTATTTGTGTATCAATCGGCTGTAGATCCTCAAATCATCTCTGAATTAGAGCCGACACCGTCCTTCCTTCTGGAGGGTGGCTACTTTTGTTCCCTATGGTCCCTGTGTGCGTTGTAAGGTAGCCACCGCTGCAAGCTTGCTCCAATGATGGACTACAATCTCAATACACATTAGTAAACTAAATGTGAGATTGCAGTCCATCACAGGAGTGAGCTTGGTGCGGTGACCACTTTACAACACACACAGGGATCACGGGGAACAAAAGTAGCCACCCTCCAGAAGGAAGGGCAGTGTCGGCACTAATTCAGAGATGATCTGAGGATCTACAGCTGAGTGATACACAAATAAGCTACATGTTTGTTAATGGGTAAGGTGCTTGAATGCATTTTTAAGATTAAACTCCCAAGTTTAGCGTCCCCAATCTATTGAAGATGAAAGCTTTCGGGACAAGTTTTTACTTAATAGCCAAACTTTTTGCATTAAATTGGTAGCTCGCACGCTACAAGACTACTACTTATATCCCATCCAAATGTAGCCTGAACAAGTTGAACAGTTAGACAACATGATGTACCCGCTGTGTTAGAGCTGACTTGGCTGGCATCATTGGTAATGGAGCAGTATTTGGAATCTGTATGACCGGTGGAGGAGTAGTTTGAGAAACAACTGGTCCGGGGATTTTCACCCAGAATATGGAGTATTTTTCAACAACAGTGACTCTAGAAGGAAGACAAATCAGAAGTTTAATATGTGCAACATTTATACATGTTCAGGATATCATTAACCTCTTGCCGTCCGCCCGTAGTAAAAAAACGGACGGACGGCACTGCAGCATCTGAACATACAGCCAATTTACAGAATTGAATTTGACCATTTCACTAGATCCAATGCCAAAATGTATTTCTTCAGTTTGGACAGAGTAGGGAAGAGTGCTACTGGAGAGATTTCCCTTCACTTCCTGCCCCGTAGACACAAAAGGAAGTGACAGAAAAGTTTCTCTCCAAAGTGAGGGAAAATGCTCAGGTTTTCACTGGAAACAAAAATATCCACATCAGAAAATTTCTTGTCACAATTTTGGATTTTCTCCTCACTTTCAGTCCCGGTGAAAAGGGTAAACAGGACATACAGGGAAAGTAAATCTCCTCAGCTACAATAAAAACCTCACAGGAGTTTATACCACTGTATCCAAAACCAAAAGAAATAAGTGTTCATGTTAAAAACACTTAAACCACTTCAGCAGCACAATAGCAGGGCAACTAGACAGCACTGCAAGGGTTACTTTTTATTCTGCCCAGAATTCTGCTTTAAGCGATTTATGCATAAAATTCCTACCTAGCTCCCCCTATGTGATGTTAAAGGGGACTGTGGGAAGTTATGTTTACTCTAATTAACCCTGTCTGTACTGTGCTGACAAACTGCTCAGAGTAGACTGGAACCTGCACAAAGGCCTCCACCAAAGAAACAGCTAAAAATTATATTTGTAAAAATATATATATTTTTTTTTAAAGGTATGGTGTGTGAACAGGAACCCATAACATATAGTGGGGATTTTTCAATTAGGACAGCAACTATACTTTAAATTAGGAAGAAAGGGGAAATAGGACAAGTAGGAAATGTACTTTTATGCATTGTTCTTAACAGTACATTGATAGAACTACAAAATATCAGCACAAACGTCTTCCGAGTACTTCTTCCAATTCTTACATAACAGAGTAAAGCAGTAAAACTCAGTCAATCTTTGTAGATAGGAGACCCCCACACTTTATTTTTTGGATGTGACATCATGGTGCACAATGTTAAAAAGAATCTGCCTGTATAAATCCCTTCGGTAACGCCAACACACTTATTGCAGGTCTGTGATCACATAAAGCTAAATGACATTGTGTGTGCATTTGTAATTCTGTGTTTAACCCAGTACAAGTTGTTCATCAGACATAAACAATCATTTATAAGTCAGATATAGAGCAATATATATTCACATACAAGAACTGGACATGCTGTGGAGCATTGCTGGGGGCAATCCAATAGACTTCCACCATAGACTTCCTCCTCTTGCTGGTCTGACTCACTGCAGAATCCTAGGGGAAAAAAAACTTGACTTATACAAAAGGTTACAGTTCATTAATTGCTGACTTCACCTGTAGACAGGTTTCAAGTACGCACAATGCGCCAGCAACAGTTTTCAACCATATATTTAGATTCTACAGCAATGTCAGCTTACTACTAATTACTTTCCACAGCCACAAGTTGCTGGACAGAAAATTGCTATTTTAACGCCCATTACAAAAAATGTAAAGTTTGTATCTCTAGGTAAAACCTTTTTTTTTTTAGTTTTGGACAGAGTGGGAAGAGGTCAGACCCTCCATTAACTTTTAGTGCTGCGTTTCCTCACTGGGAAGAGTCACTCTTTTATTTGTACTGGTGACCATTGTAACCAAGAAAAAAAAAAAAAAAAAA